CTCTCTCTCTCTCTCTCTCTCTCTCTCTCTCTCTCTCCACCTTCTATAAAGTGGATCATATTTAGTGATAATTAAAGTTATTATAAGAATATAGAAATTCAATCTTGATTGTTGTGTGAGAATTAATGAATTTTATATACTTATTAGAAAAGCATAAGTATTTAATTGAATACAAAATAGTGATAATAAATTAGTGCCTTAACTAACGACACATACAAATGACAGTGAGAATCAAATGACAGAATATCAGAGCAATATATAAATATTAATTTTAATATCATTTGGTTTTTCATTGAAAGCAAATGAATTTCTTATAAATATTATATCTTTTTACAAATTATATTTTATAAACACATGTTTTATTAATAGGCAATTAAATTATTTAAAAAACTACTCTGTATATAACTTATATTTAATACTAGATAGTATTAAATTGTCGTTGATATCTATAAATCAACCTATTATTAGAAAGTTATATAAGAATTATAAAAGCAAAGATTCCTTCTTAACAAATATTTTGACCACAATTTTGTATGAATCATGTAGTTTATAGTATAACGCTGTCCCTCCCCCCACATTATGGGAATAACATTGGAGGCCAGCTTAAGTCTATGGCTATACTTTAATCATGGTAATAGTCAATTATCAGCGACATAACTATAATGTATAGGTTGTCCACCATTTGCCGGCACCCACACTGTGATCGATAGTCGACAGATCGGGCGTGTGTTCGGTGTAGTGTTGCCAGAAGCTCACAGTTTCCCGGGCTTCAGGGTCCGGGAGACAGGAGTCTCATAGCATTGCCAAATAATATTTTGAAAATCCTGTATAAACATGAGAAAAATGCATGCATTTTCCTGTATTACAGCTTATTTTTGAAATATTTATTACTGTATTTATCAATGTACAGGTATATTTCTGTATTATGTGAAAATTCCTGTATAATACAGGAAATTCCTGTATGTTTGGCAACGCTAGAGTCTCACCTTGATATTGGTAGCTCAAGAAATTACATGTTTATAAATATATTGATAAACATCGACACTGTTTGGTTGAAAAATTAGTATAAGGCTACAATTTTTCTAATTCGGAATTAATTTTTCGTTTATTATCTTATAATTAATTTGTCAAGAATTACAATTTGAATACTATAGAAAATCGTGAATATTTACATGTTTTGTTGTATTTGGACTCATTATTTTGGTAATAATTATATTTAAAAGACTTTTAATGACTATTTTTCCAATTCAAGGAGACTCAAGGAATTCTTTTAAAAATCGCAGGGAATCTCCCGGAAAATTCAGCGGAAGGATGGAACGATCATATAAACCACATTATTCATAGCTGAATGTGGTTGACAACTCCTTATTGCTTACAAATTGAATTGCAATTGTTTAATGACTGCAAAATATTGTTGATATTGGGATGTGTTGTGAACCCTGTGTTTAGAGATGTAAATGTGATAATTTGGGAACGTTTAGGGGTCTCAATGAACATTTAGGCTAAATTTTCAACCACTCTATATTAGCAACATCTATATTACACATATTTACTAATTTGTGTAATTTAAACTAAATTAACAACTATTATCAAAAAGTAATTTATTTTAATATTTAACAGAATACTTAATTTGTCGTAAATTCATCATTTCATCACATATTTTGTTAATAAGAATTTTATAAATCGTACTTTAAGTAAAATATTCACAGAATATATAACAGAATTTGCAAGAATTTTTAATAAATTTGAAATATTTAAAGAACCAAAATAATTGTCGTAATTATTTTAAATGGAATATGCTTTAATTTGTTGGATACATATTTCACCCCATTAAAAGTATCTAGTTAAAAAACGTATAAAGATTTTAAAGAAAAATTAGCTTAAATGAAATGTTTATATGAAAATGTCATTGAAATTTTCATCCCTACCTAGGGTGACCAACTATCCTATTTTTAGAGAACAGTCCTCTATTTAGAAATATTTTGAGCAATGTATTCTAAAGATTTGCTATGAAAATTAAGGTTAAAACTTGTGTCCTCTATTCATCATCAATAATTAGTGAATGTTTACCTATTTGTCCTCTAAAATTCCATTAAAAGTTCTCTTTTTCTAAAATGGGAAGTGGTCAGCCTATCCCTACCTGTGTTTGAACGCCTTTCAATGAACGTAACATTCAATTGATTTGCGTATGAAATGAAAGAAATGCCGATTTGGGCTCTCCTTTACATTCACTCTTAAAGTGTATTATTTGTCAAAAGCCTGTATTCAAAGTGTATTGCAGTCCAAACCCTTCGAAC